TTTTATTTCTTTCTCTTAGCTAACTGCTGTGGCTAATGTTTTGAGTACTATATTGAACAGATGTGGTGATAGTGGGCATCCTTGTCTTGTTCCTGATTTTAAAGGCAAAGCTTTCAGTTTTTCCCCATTTAATATGTTACTGGCCATTGGGTTTATCATAAATGGTTTTTATCAGATTCAGGTAAGCTCTTTCGTACCTGTTTTCTTTAGGGTTTTTATAAAGAAGGAGTGTTTGATTTCATCAAACCTTTTTCTAAACCTGTTGATATGATCATGTGGTTTTTGTTCTTGTTTCTGTTTATGTGGTATCCATGCTTATGTTGACTCATCCTTATAACACTGGGATGAAACCTACTTGGTCATGACATATGATCCTTTTGATTATGTGTTGTATATCATTTGCCAGCATCTTGCTGAGGATTTTTCTTCTATGTCCTTTAAGGAGATTAGCCTATATTTGTCCTTTTTAGTTTGGTCTTTGGTTTTTGGATCAGCGTGATCCTGGCTTCTAGGAATGAATTTAGAAGCATTCCTTCCTTTCTGTTTTATTGAAGATTTTGAGGAGTATTGGTAATATAGCGTCCTTAAAGATTTTGTAAAATTCAGCAGTGAGTCCATCAGGTCTTGGGTTTTTCTTAGTTGATAGGTTTTTTATTACTACCTCAATTTATTTGCTTGTTATTGAATTGTTAAAAGTTTTTTATGTCTTGTTGGTTTAGTTTTGGTAATTCATATGATTCTAGGGATCTGTGTATTTCTCCAAGGTTTTCCAATTTGTTGAATACAATTTTTCATATTAGTTTCTATCTTCTGGATTTTGATTCTGTCTATTGTGATTTTTTGTTTTTTCATTTTTAATTGCATTGATGTGAGTCTTTCCTCTCTTTCTTTGGTAAGTTTGTCTAAAAGCTTATCTATTTTGGTTATTCTTGCAAAGAACCAGCTCTTTGGTTAGATGATTCTTTGTATTTTATTTTTGGCCTTAATTTCATTAATTTCCATTCAGATCTTTATGGTTTCCCTCCTTAAAGTAGGTTTGGATTTGGATTGTTACTGTTTTTCAAGGATCTTGAAGTTCACCAGTTACTTATTTGAGCTCAGTCTGGGTTTGTTTGTTTGTTTGTTTTTAGTATCGGGAATTGAACCCAGGGCCTTGCATTTGCAAGGCAGGTGCTGTGCCACTGAGCTACATCCCCAGCCCTTGCTCTGTTTTTCTAATGTGAGTATTGATTGCAATAAGCTTCCCTCTTAGGACTGTTTTCACTGGGTCACATAGGTCCTGGTTCCTTGTACTGACATCATTTACCTCCAGAAATCACTTGATTTCTTTCTTCATGTCTTATGTGACTTGTTGAGTGTCCAGGAGTTACTTATTAAGTTTCCAGGTGTTTCTAAATTTTCTGTGGTTGCTTCTGTGACTGATTTCAAGTTTCATTGCACAATGTTCTGATAGTAAATAAGGGGTGATTGCAGTTCTTTTATATTTATTTAAGCATAACTTGTGGACCTGTATGTGGTCTATTTTGGAGAGAGTTCCTTGTGCTCCTGAGAAGAACACTGTACTCTGTTGTAGCAGAGTACAGCATTCATACGTTCAAGAGTGTGGTTCAGCTCTGAAATTCCTTTACTGATTTTTTTGTTTAGTTGATCTATTTCTTTGCAAAAGTGTAGTGTTGAGGTCACCCACTATGACTGTGTATTAATGTTTATTTGATCTTTTATGTCCAGCAGTATTTGTTTTTTAAAGATACATGCTTTAGTATTTGATACATACATCTTTATAAATGTTATCTCTTCTTCTTGGATTATCCCCTTAACTAGTATATAATAACGCTTAGCAACATTCTCTGCAGCCTGTATTCAATTTGATTGGGAGTTACTCTGCAGTGTGGAAGGTGATGGATACAAGAGGTGAAGGGATGGCTGCAAGATGAGTGTGAGTCAGTAGGTAAGAGCTGGGTAGGAAAAACAATAATAGCTGGAAAAAATAGATATGGGGTCAGATTCTGTTGGAGGTCATTTGGTTGGATTTAAGGATTAGTGCTGATGATTTGCAGAAATTTGTGGGTGTGAGGACAGAATATAGGAGGGGGAAGTGGATGACTTTGTGAACGAGGAAAGGTGCAAGAACTTGATGTATTTGTGCACCTGTAAAGTGAAAAAGAGGCAAGGGAAGATGGGAGTACATAAGATAAGGAAGAACAAAAGGAATAGAAGGTACTAACTCAGAAGGTTAGTACAGAGAAGATAGGAGTGACAGAGAGCAGAATGAGAGGAAGAATTTTAAAAATAGGAGAAACTAGTAAAAAATAAAACAGTATTGCTACAGAAACCTGAATGGAAGAGATGAGATAAGGAGAGAAAAAGGGAGAGAAAATAAAACACCAATGAAATCACATCAGAAAACCCAGAACACAAACAAACAAATTTGACCTCAGATCAAATATTCCAATAAGAAAAAGTACATGTAATTCACACATGACTGCCATGCGGAAAAACCTGAGGGTTCACATAGGTCCCTTGGATTAGTTGCAGTCTGATGAAAGGCAGCCACAATAAATTCCCTTGCACTCAAAACCCGATCAAACCCAGTCTCAAGAAGTCTCCTCTCCAACTTGCAGGCAGAATCTGACCCTGGCCTGGGATGGGCTTCAGGCCTCTTCCCTGACACATGAACGGGGCTCACACAATCAGCCACCGTGCTCACCCTCTGGCAGGGGTCCTTGGGAACCCACAAGTGTGCTCACACCCTGGGGCATCTGTGAGGCTGGGCCACTCGCAAGTGTGAGACCCCCAGGACACAGCAGGCAATTCCCTCGCTCTCAAGCAGTATCCACAGAGTGCACAGTAGGACTGTGTACCTGCAGAAATCCACAGACCATGCTTGCTTTTATGTCTTTTCTCTGCCCAGAGTCGGAGTGCTTCCCTTGCCCTCAGTGCTTGCTGGTAAGGATGCTGCCAGACTGCAGCATACCCATTCCCCAGTGTTCAGAGGAGAGGTGGTGGGGAGAAGGGGCTGGTGTGTGCAGAGTCTGACCCAGGAGTCCAGTCCCCAAAGAGCTGTCATTGCCTCCTGCTATGTAGACCATGCTCCTCCTGCAGAGGGGCAGGGCTGGAGCAATGCACAGCAGCCATGGCACTCTTTTCCCACTTCAGTGATCCAGATGGTAGGTTTGGAAACATCTTCTCACAAGTTCATTCAGCTTGTTGGCAGAATTCATTTCTTTTCAGTTGCATGACTAAGGACTCCAGCTTGTTACTGGATTTTCACAGCTGGAAGCCACCTAAGGTCCCCACAGTTCCCCACCATGTGGAACTCTTACAGACACTCCCCCAACCCCTCTAACAGCATGGCAGCTTCCTTCCTCTCTGTTCAGCAAAGACTGAGTCTTACATAATGTCACATCTTCATGGAAGTGACATCCTGTCATGTTTGCTAAATTCTGCTGACTAGAACCGAGCAAGTCACAGCCCCCAAGGGGAAGGGATTGCACAATGATATGACTCCTTAGAGAGACACCTCAGGAGGCATATCCTGTGGGTGGTCTAGGAGGCTGAATACTGTCTTCCAGAGATACCAGGCCTTGGCAGTGGATCCTAACAATATTACCTTATAAGAGAAAAAGAGTCTTCGTAGGTATGATTAAGATAGGATCTTGAGCCACAAGGGTTATCCTGGGTTCTCTGAGTGGCACTTAATGCAGTCGTGTGTATCTTTATAGGAAGGAGGCAGAGGGAGGTTTAGACTCATATATATGTGAAGATGGAGGTGAGAAGAGGTTAAAGGTCCTCACTTTGGACAAAGATTGGTACAGTGCAACTGCAGCCAAGGAATGCTGGCAGCCACTAGAAGTGAGGAGCTGGGCCTGGTGGCACATGCCTGTAATTCCAGCACTCAGGAGGCTGAGGCAGGAGGATTGCTGTGAGTTCAAGGCCAACCTCGGCTACAAAGTGAATTCAAGGCCAGTCTGAACTATAGAGTGAAACCTTGTCTAAAAAAGACAAAAAAAAAAAAAAAGTGAAGCGAGTCAAGGGACATATTCTTCTAGAGCCTCCAAAGAGGATCTAGCTTCGTTGACACCATGACTCTGACCTGATTTTGCTGTTTAGAGATGTAGAACTGGAAGACAATAGTTTTCTGCTGGGGCTTAGTTTGTGGTAATTTTGTTACAGCATCCACAGGACACTAATATAAATGAGTTTTAAATGTTACTTTTTAAGTATATTTAACTAGTTATTCAGTGATGTTAAGTACCCTTTCAAAAGGTTACTGACTTTAGATGTTTCCCTGGTTGCGTTTCCAATTCATGTCTGTTGTAGCTTTGCATTCTCTTTCTTAGATTAGCAAGAGTTCTTTACACAGTCTAATTGCTAATCCTATGTCAGGTGTGCATGTAACTAAAGAAGATGCTTGTCTTCTTCCCGTTCCTAGCTTGTCTTTTTACTTTGTCTATGGCAGGTTCTGCATTCAGACTTGTTTTCAACTTTTTAAATCATGGGATATTTTAAACTGAAAAGAAGAGAGACTAGTACAATAGATTCTCCATTATTTGGCTTCAACAATGACTGTCTTTTTTCCTAGAAGAATTCATTTTTCCCATTAAGATTTGTACCTTTTCTCCATTGTCTTAAAATCCTTAAATAAAGATTGTGCTATAGTTATTTGTGTGGCTGAATATTTTTGTCATGATAATGCTCATTCCTTGTCTCTTTTACCATTATATAAATGTTACGTATAACAATATAAATATTGTCAAATGACTAGCAGCATCAATGTTAATCTGTACCTTCTTCCTAAGTAGCCTGACTTTCTCCAGCAAGCACAAGCTATGGGGTCAGATCTTAGGAACTCACTACTTGTCCCAACAATGCCATACATATTATCAAAGAGTTTGTTGAAAAGCCCATGCATCCTTGCAACAAGACAAATCATGCAGGAATTGTCATTTTAAGTCTGATGTACTGACATTATTGTTTTTACTAATTCCTTTTTTTTTTTTTCAGTGTGCCATGTGGGCATGACAGCATGAAAGAACAGGACCTTTGCAACAAGATAATGGCTAAAATTCTGGAAAATTACAATACCCTGTTTGAAATAGAATATATAAAAAATGATAATCAGAGACATGACAAACAGGCCAGGCTTATCGTAGTAAAAGTGAGTAACTTTGATCTTTAACTTCTAGTATTGGTATAATTTTGGTGGAAGATTTTATTTAAATTCTCATTAAAATCACATATGGATATAACTTAGACTATTATTTTTAGGTATATTGAGCTAGTCTATCAAATGTTTATTGAGTCAATATATAGTCCAAGATTAAGACTAATAATAGTGATGTTATTTTTGCTTATTGCCATAAAACAATCCCAAAAGTGCTCACATGAACCCAGTACTCTGATCGTTTAGGCAAATTGCATTGTTAATGACAACCTGATGTTATAGCAGGGTCGTGTGCATACAACTGTGTTCAAGAGGGCTGGCTCACAACTCACACTGCAAATTCCTGAAGGCAGCGTTGTTCTTTTTGTCTCTCTTGTGTCTGGCACACTTTCAAGCCAACCTTGGATTTTAAGTCCTATATATTTGTTCTTGGTAACTATCATATGTAAAGACAGTATTTTAAGATAAACTTGAGGCCTTTATAGGTAAATGGTCACAACTAGAGACCATACTCATAAGTGAAATAAATTAGACCTGCATGTGCAAGCACCGCATTGTTTCACTAGTGTAAAACCTGAAAGAGTTAATTTAAACTCGGAGGTATGATAGACATTGTGAAATGATAGGAAAACACTCAAGGGTAAAGGACAACTGAGATGTGGGAAAAGAGAAGGGAAAGAAGGAGAAATGTTGTACGTATGTATATACAGGATAGTTAACATGGTTGTTCTACTGTCTTCTATTTCTTTGCTGAAAGAAACTGTCA